GCCATGTTTTGGTTTGGCCGCCCCTAGCTTTCTTCCAACCTACTCCTATACCAGAAAAAGTCGCACGTCGAGGCAGTCGGTCGTTGGGCATACGTAACACGTGTCCCAGCCATCTCAACTGATGAAGTTTCACTACGTCATCAATTGATTTGCCATCCTTACCTAGTACCCGTTTCCTAACAACTGCATTACTTACTCGATGGTCCCAGGATATACGAGCAATGTTTCGAAGACACCTATGATCAAATACTAGTAACCTACGGATATCCTCTACTCTTACCGGCCATGTTTCACTGCCATAAAGTAGGACGGAACGAACTGCTGCGCAGTAAACCCGTCCTTTGGTTGATAGACGGATATCTCGCCTACGCCATAAATGACGCAAGTTGGCAAAAGCTAGTCGAGCCTTCTGTATCCGTGCTGAGATTTCGTCACACACCAGACCACAAGGGCTGATGAGACTTCCAAGATAAGTGAAGCGGTCGACACACTCAACTACTTCACTCCCTATCATTAGTTCGGGTGTCAATGCAACCCAATCCTGAAGCAACATTTTGCATTTCGAGGGAGAGAATCGCATCCCGAACATGCTTGCATTGTTGCTTAGAGTGGTCAGAAGACTCTGCATTTTGTCAGTGTCTTCACCAAATAAAACTATGTCATCAGCATATTCTAAGTCAACAAGTGAACCTCCCGGTAGAAGTTCAACCCCTGGAAATTTAGATGAGGAAAGTGTTATCTCTAAAAGTACGTCGACGACAAAGTTGAACAAGAATGGGGAGAGTGGACAGCCCTGACGAACACCACTTGAGGTAATCAATTCTGATGACAGTTCGCCATAAGCTCTCACTCGACCAGTTGTGTTCGAGTAGAGAGCCTTTATAAGGTTAATGTACTTCTTTGGTACTCCTTTCAGTGACAAACACTGCCATAGAACCTCACGATCAACAGAGTCGAATGCCGCCTTAAGGTCGAGAAATACTACCATTGTGGGGCGTCTGAATGTGTGTCTGTGTTCTAGAACCTGACGTAGTGTGAATATCTGATCTATACAACCACGTCCAGGTCGAAAACCAGCCTGGTTTTCTCTAGTCTGCTCTTCACGAGCTTTGTTAGGCGTCGAAGTATTATTGAAGCTAATATTTTAGACACTATATTAGTCAAACTGATTCCTCTGTGATTGTCACAAGAGGACTTTTGTCCTTTCTTATAGACTGGCACAATCAGTGATTGAGACCAGTCAGATGGGATTACGTCCAGTTCCCAAATTCTACCTAAGACCTCAGTTAATCTCATTGCTAATACTGGACCACCATCCTTAAAAATCTCAGGAGTAAACCTGTCAGGGCCTGCTGCTCTCCCTCGTTTCAGATTTCCTATGGCTTTTTCAACTTCGTAAAGACGGAGGACCTACATTAACTTGCCATTCAGGTTGACTGGAGATCGTGGGAAACCGAAGTGTGGCTGAAGGCCAGTTGAACTGATCCCTAAAGTGTTCTGCCCATCGATCCAATCTCCTGGATTGAGAATGTATAATATGTCCATCTTTCTCTGAGATTGTTTCGCTAACAGTCGGGTTCCTAATACCGGTTTCCTTAACAAGTCTGAACAATTGTCTGCTATTACCTATTGCCGCTGCCTTTTCCATCTCTCTTGCTTTCGCTACCCACCACTGTTCACGATCATTGCGTAGACTTCTTGTCAGCTTGCGCTTAAGCTGACTCCGCTCTTCATTATGTTCAGAGCCAGGTGGAATGAGTTTCCGAGCATCTATCAGTGCGATAGATGCTGCTGAGATCCAGTGTTGCTCCCTAACCTTACGGGTTACCGTACTAGCAGATATCACTGCTGTTTCCACAGCTTTTCGGATATCATTCCATGCTGCCTCGGAGTGGGCATCACATACATGGCTGCCTAACTGTTTTCCTAGTTGTTCCTGAAATATACTCTTAGCTTGACTATCATTAAGTAGAGCCCTAAGAGGTTTACTTGCAGCGTTTTTTTACGTCCAGTAAGACGCAGACAGATACGCGCTCGTACTAGAGCATGATCTGAATCTAAGCATGTGCTCCAGAATGAGCGACAGTCTTCTATCGAGCCCCTCCATCGGTGGCTGATAGCGATGTGATCTATTTGGATCCAACGTTGGGACGAATTAAGGGGTCGCCATCTTAGATGTTTTTCCTTATGCTTAAAGTTAGTATTTGCAAGAAAGGGGCGGTTATCTGAGCAACAGACGGTCACCATTATCTGTTCTTTGAGCCACGACACCATAAGATCCACCTAGGTGTTTTTCCTTATCACTTAGTTTGCCTACTTGAGCATTAAAGTCACCAGCCACAATTACTACATCAGAGCGCATAGCTTTTCGGAGAAGGTCGTATAGCTTTTTGCAAGATTCATCTTTTACATCTGCGCTGCAGTCAGTGGGAGAATAGGCAGAGACGACGAAGAGGCGACGACGAGTGTCCCTATCTATTCGGATCCTTACTGTTCCGTTCAGTCGGACAGCGCACAAACGACTGTCTACTGGGATCCAGTCTAAGAGAGCTAGTTCTACCCCAGGACTCGATGCTATACCTACGCCGGCGAGGCCACGGGAAGCAGAATCAGGGCTTCCAGATACACGAAGTGTGGATCGAATCTGTTCTTTATTTTGGCATGGTGAGGCGTTATTCATTTGACCTCACCAGTGGACAGTCGTGGTAGTTGTTAGTGAACTTCTCTAGCAGATCACCACTCCCTGTAGAGATTGACATGTTGTCCAGAGCACGAAGAACCAAGTCCATTATGTATTTCCTTTTCCACCGGCTGTTACGTCGAAATAAGTCTGTAAAGCTTATAGAGACAAAGGAACACACACTTACCTCCACGAATTAGATCTTTAGAATGTGCATACAGAATATAATCACAGGGCAGCATGTAGTCATTGAAACGCTCACAAGCACATCGTGCACATTAAGTACCAACAACATACATCATACCCTTGTCGTAGCACTGGGTGTATTCTCCTTCTATAAATTCGTGTCTCATTGTCCTAACACGTTTATAATTTACAGCTACAATTTTAGCTGCAAAAGATGTGAACTCATTTAAAAGAGTTCGAAATGACATTGGAACCTGGAATTAATGATACATTTAACAATATTCCTTATCTGAAGAATTGGAAAGCGTTGAAGGTTCTTTACAGTGTCATACGGACGCAAACGTAAGTCGGTGTCTGTTTTACTCCACATTTTCCAGAACGTCACTAACAGAGAATCACCTCTTCCGAGACATTCTTTTAGGTGTTTATGAGCACTTTCGACACGGTTGTTTGTGTGGTTGCCCAGGTTTGATACATATCGCCGGTAACGGCGAGCCCACATTGACTTCCGGGCAATTCAGTAATCTTTTTTGTAATCATACGCCCGCGGGTAATGGATTCTTAGATGTTCGTACTTCTAAGTAAATCTGAATATAGTGCGTTATGAAAAGCGAACCTCACATGCCAGACCGTCTAGTCTTCACAAGGTGTTCCAAGCATTTGCGTACTTCAGGATTTCGGAACTACAGAAAATAATTTGTACAGCTAACACATACCTTCCTGAAAAGTGCCCTCAAGACATGGAATGAACAAAGTACTATGTTAGAATGACTGTGCGTAGACTGCAATGCTGAAATTTCGATCGCTGCCGAATCCATAATCAAAGTGCAGGTGTCATAAGTACCGCACATTATCTCTTTAAAGCCTTCCAATAATTTTCCGACATCTTCATGTCGTTCTTGACTGCAAAGAGCATACATAACAGTGTGCCCTTGCCCAAGACTATCAGTCACCACTAGCTGGAACAGTGGAAAACTTTCAGATAGATTTATCACTATTCGTTACTTACCCAAATTTGTCGGTCTGATAAGTCGAATCCATGCATATTACCTCTGGGAATGCGCGGTAAACAGCTATTCGCTCCCTGCGACTGAAGCAAATCATAGATATGTTCCCATGTTCATTGAATACTTTAACTTCAGTATTTGCTCGAACGCGCTGTAAAATATCATTGATATTTTTAGTGTCTAAACTCAATTAATTACAATGTGAGTTCAACAACCTGGGTACAACTGTGAACGCATTCTGGCGATACCGTCCTTGGTAAGCTGTTTATTGAACTTCCAAGAAACCAGATACCGTAAGCTACGAGTTGGTGTATTACTCAATAGAAACGTTCTTAAATATAAGCGTCCACTTGGCGTCAACTGTCGTCTCGATAGATTGACAGAAATATATCCTTCATTGTAAGGATGGTTGTGCACGGTTTTAATAGAGGTGAGTTTCAGCCCACCATTTACTGCACAGCCCCAGAATCCAGATTGACAATGGCAATATTTCGACCTGAAGGATAAATCCATTTGAAGTAAAGCATACGTAGATGACCGACGTCGTCTTCTTTGTCTAGGTTGTAGTGGTGACTTAGAAGTTGTATGCTCTTCAGAAGAATGATGATTACTATCACCATCTACATCCTGAACGCAAGCATCTGATTCTGACGAACTGCATTTACGTACATATGTACAGACATATCTCACGAAAAAGTACTTTAGAGTTGGATCATCACTGTTCTTTTTGCATACTGACATAACGTACTTAGTATGCGTATACTAAAAAAGTAATTATTAACCGCAAAAGTCATGTTACCTTATGTACTTCTTTCAAACAGGTCTCAAAATTGTCCCAACTTGTAAATCTTCGAGATAACATAATATCATTGAAGATTCGTCCTATATCATGAATCATCACGATGGCATCGTCTTCGTTACTTGAAGAATGAACGTTATCAGATATGGTGTGGCTGAACTCAAGATCTAAAAATGTCTTGATTTGACCGCTTCTGAAAATTTTCTCGAATTGTCGATGTGACTCAACAATCATCTTGCGACAGTTTGACCTTCAAGTGCTCGCAACCTCCAACAGTAAACGATAACCCTGAAGCGTTGCCGTCGCTGTGTCGACTTATCGATATATCATGTCCCGTCCGCCGTCCAACTTCTCTTGGGTTTCGAAATCTGTAGCCGGGTTCGCATTTCCACGGGAAAAGTATGAGCTAGAATATCTAGTAGATAACGCTGGGATAAGCCATATAATTACTTTGTGCCATGAAGTTCCCCAGTACATTTCGGATTTCACGTGTAAGTTATTCGGATTATGCGATATTTCATTGGCTATTTGCGAAAAATAAAATATTATACCAGTCTAATTCCTATGCTCCCAATTCTGGGGAAAATTTAACACATTTTGGAGAAGCCTCTATAGTAAACTCTAGGGAGATTTTGGAGAAATGGCACTAAAACCCCCAAATTTCCCCAAACATTGGTGAAGGTCAATTGACTTCGGCAATTTCCCCAAAATTGGAAGCTCGAGGTGGTAGCCACAATCACCAGGTAACTTTGAAGATTTCAGCTCGAAGTAAACTCTTCGTTAAGAATGCTAATATGACGGCTTTCCCTATTTTCTGTCGAGTTCATCGGGACTGGTTGATATTTGTGAACATACTGCCTAGTTACCTAAATGACATCAAGGAAGTAGGAAGTTGGTTGAACACATTTTGTGTGCGATGCATTTTACAACAACACATCAAAGGAGATATATCACAGTCAGCTAACTAATCATTAGTGTCATTTAGAAGTCATGCACATTTGTTCTCCGCACTGACATATCCACTTCTAGGAGAATTTATTTTCGTCATCAATGGTCGAGGTCAGCGATAGTAATTCAGTCCGTCTGGATATGTTTCACGAAGCCATCATAGTAACTTCCACACCATGCACCATATATAACGACTGAGTTTAGGTGGTAAGAGCTCAGAGGTATTCAAGTGATAACACTCAACCGTTATGAGAAAGATAATCCATGTTTTCCAGTCATACTTTTCGTGTACTTGGTTTTTAGTCACACCACTTTCGAGGCAGTCATACTTGTTGCTGTTACTCAAACCAAAACACAGTTATTAATTTCATCTCAAGGTTTAGTTTAAATCAAAATATATATATCTGTACCTCTTTGACCTTTCTTATACCCTAATTCAACCGTGGACTGATCCTATCATTGGAATACTAATCAGGAAATCCAAACTTAACGGTATAGTTTACGTCAGTCACTGATGGATTAATTTCATGTCTTGATCTACATGACCCTAGACTTTCTCAACCTACTCTTGGGCCAGTGGTAAATGGGGTAGACTGTGGTGGCATATGATTGGGGTTTGCATCTTTATCAGTTGATCCCCTCGTTTACCATACATCCTTAATCCTTAGCATTACCCACTTGTTGGTTCCATAATTTGTTACACCTATCAGTGATACATATGGCCATAAAACATTTTAATCTAAAAAGCCTAAATTAAGGAGCCTAAATAGCCGAACATTATTAAAATTATTTATGTCCTAAAACCACAAATGATATGTATTCAGTCAGTGCTAGGTCTAGGAATAACTTTTTTTAAGTTTACAAACCTCAAATAGCTAATTGTTGGATGATAGTAAATGATATTGTTTTAGGTTCATTATCAGTCTTATGGACTGCTCTGTGGTTGTCACACTAGGATTTTCATCCTCGTTTGTAGATCGGAATGATCGTTGGTCACAATCAGTTGGGAAAAATTATATCCCGGTTCCCATTCTCTAACTTGTCAGTCAATCTAACTGCTGAAGATAGACCTCATAAAACAATTAGTCAGCTGTTATATTTCACTTCGAGTCGTTGCCTTCTCGATTTCTGTGAGATCGATAGTGCTCTACTGTTCAGGCTGTTAGTGAGTACTGGGTAGTTAGACTGTAGCTTGATGGCAGTTAAACTGTTGCAGTGTTTTTTGCTCATAATTCTGGTTGCTCGATTTGAAAGTAGTCCATCTCTCCGAGAGATAATTTCGCTAACAATCGACTTTTTATCCCTTATCTTCCTGAACAATTGCTTCATGTTACCTATCACCACTACTGTTCCCATTATTTTGTTTTTGTTACCCACCACCTCTCGATTACCACGTAGTTTTTGTTCGTTTCTATTTCAATCTTCTTTGCTCCCTCATTGGTAATGGACCCACTGATACGTTCCTAAGCATATACTAGTCTGGTAGAACCTCCAAAGTTCGATTGGTCTTCCTTGACCTTTTGCTACTGTTTTACTTTCGTCAACATGCGTCACTTGTAGTGAAGGCTGAATATCCGTTTACCAACCAAAGGACGAGTATACAGTTAATCACTTCTGTTTTACTTTGTTATGTCCATGAGATGACTTTGAAACATTGTTCGTATATTTTAGGAGCACCGAGTGGACAATGTTTATGCTAATCGCAAGGTGCTAAGCAAGGATAGAATGCCACTTAATGAAGTAGTGAATCTTCACCAACTGAGGTAGTTAGGACATGTAATATGTATGCCCAGCCACTGTCTACCTTAACGCACGTTGTTTGTTGGCGTAAGAATTAGTTGGAACATAGCTAGGGGTGACTGAACCAAGACGTCGTGTCAATTCATGAGACCATTGACTGTTGGACTGGGCCGTATAGAATACCTGTTTGTGGTCAACGCGATTGTCGTAACTAGTGGCTAGAGGTTTCAGATAATATGGCTCATAATCGTTGTAACTGGCGTGAGGGCATCCACGCTGTCTTTCATTAGATCCTAAGTTTCTTAATCATATTGTACTCTACAAAACCATTTTTTCCTGAATCAGATATATGCCTACTCTTTCCTACTGCCATTAACACTGTTACTGTTCTGACATCTCGGTGTGATGTGGCAGCTTAAAGCAATGCACGAATGCCTCATGTTCTACTTTCCGTTTGACTGAATGATCTCCGAGTGAACATCCCGTTTATTGTATACTAAGTGCTTATTCAGTTTTTCTTCAAACATTTGACATTTTCATTTTAGAACTGAACTCAGTAAAGACTTGATGAAATCTCCTTGCGTCCACTAAGTCTCATGAAAGCTCATGCCAACACCAGAACTTGGTCAAAGTCTGGATATATGCTACAGTAGAAATAACAGTTCTATTGACTTACAATCATGTAATGATGGTGACCCATTTGTCTATCGTTCTATTAATATCAGGAGTTTGTATATTAGACTTTTCATCCCTTAACCTTGTGCTTGCTAAGAATAACCAATCGTATGAGCTTGATCTGAATATTGGAAGCCGTACCTCAACATTTTCGCGCTTGACTTCGCTCACCCGCTTGGGCCATCAGTCATCGTTGGAGAGGGTCGGTCGAAGATTGTCGCTCACTCTGGAGTACCTGCTTGGACTCCGACCACGCCCTAATACGGGTACGCATTTGCTTGCGCCTCACTGGACGCAAAAAAGCCACATTAAAAAGACCCATTAGAACTGAGTTGAGTAACGAGCAAACCAAAAATAGGTTCCAAGAAAAACTGAGTTCACAATTAGGTAGTTCTGAAGACGAGGCTGACCATATGTTGCTTGGAAGGGCATACAAGCAGCTATGGAAACAGCAGTGACATCTATTAGCGACTTAAACCACAGAGTTACAAAGAACCAGTGGATTTCTTCGAAGTCTATCACACTGATGGATTCTCGCAAACTCGTCCCATCAGGTTCCGAACATGATGAAGAGCGACAACAAATCAGATCTAGATTAATAAAAAGTCTAAGAAACGACCGTGAGCAGTGGTGGGCAATGAAAGCAAAAGAGATGGAAAAGGCGGCGACTATAGGGAACACAAGACAGCTTTACAGACTAATAAAAGAAACGGGAATTAATAAGTCAAGTGTGAGACTATTTCGCAAATAGACGACACTCTTATCTGCTCCCAGTCCAGACGTTTAGAACGATGGACGGAACATTTCAAGGAGCATTTCAGCTGGCCCTCAGCTAGTCTACAACTACCCTCCATCCCCAGACATTGAAGTAGGTCCCCCGACGCTAGCTGAAGTCCAGAAAGCTATAGCTAATCTGAAACGAGGAAGGGCAGCTGGTTCAGATGGATTGGCTCAAGAAGTCTTTAAAGATGGTGGTCCAATTTTAGCGATTAAATTGACTAATATTTTAGCTAAAATCTGGGAGTTGAACGTAATCCCATCTGACTGGTCACAATCACTTATCGTCCCAATATATAAGAAAGGGTCAAAATCATCCTGTGACAACCACAGAGGGATTAGTTTAACTCCCGATCGAAGCTGCTACCTTGACGCGGTGATCGGGCTTGCCTATCGTGATGACCCAACCGAGCTATATTGGCTGGAACATATGTTCCTGCAGGTTCTACCATGCCAGGCAGGTCGATTGGCGAACGGTAAGACTAAAAGCAGCAACTCAAGGTCTGAGGGCGAAGTCGTACTGCTGACTGTAGAGAGGTGTGACAGCAGTAAGGTGTTTCCCTCGGACAACCAGCATGACAGCGATGCTGCCTTCCCACAAGGAGGGGTGGGGTTAGAAAAGGTCGACCCTAAAAATGCACACCTCACCTTACCTCACGGATTTCCGTCTCCGGCGGTAAGGCCCCTTGAAGAACGGAGCTAACACGTCAAAAACCTTCCACAAAAAGGCCGTGCGCGACCGGCCTCAAGCAGTTGTCCCTTGGGCTCTGCGGTCACGCTCCCAGGTCGTCAAGACCAACACTAATCCAATTTCCTTTTCAGGTTCCTCAAGAAATACCCTTCCACGGTGTGGGCAGCCGGGAAGTGACATCAGCCCTCATACCCGTAACAGCACAAGAGACCAAGGTGGTCACATTCAAATCCTTCCTACACCTCCTAATACTTCTCTTATCCTCCCGACTAACCCTCCTCACGTCTTTTTATCACCTCGCACCGCTAGGGCAAACGATTCGAGTACGTGGAACGCCATTCCTGGTCTCCTGAAACCACGCTCTAAACTACACGTAGGAGCTTTTAACGTACGAACACTTTGCCAAATAGGACAGCAGGCTTCCTTAGCTAAAACTTTAGAATCTCGCGCCATCGATGTGTGCTGCGTCTCCGAAACGCGCATACAGGATCCAAGTAGCGTCATTCATTTGACCTCACCATGCCAAAATAAAGAACCGACTCGATTTACGCTTCGTGTATCTGGAAGCCCTGATTCTGCTTCCCGTGGCCTCGCCGGCGTAGGTATAGCATTGAGTCCTAGGGCAGAACTAGCTCTCTTAGAGTGGATCCCAGTAGACAG